ACTGCTCAGATGAAGGGGATTTGACATTGCTTGACCCTTACAGGTGGCCAAGAGAACTCCAGTGTCCACCTCAAATGGGGTTCCTTTTTTTTCATACTAGCACTGCTAATTAACATTTAAAAACTAACCACCTTCACTGTAAATCAAAGAAATAAAAGTTAAAACAATGCTAGATGCCATTTTATACTTAACATATTTGCAAAGTTAAAAGCAACCTCACATGCTGTAGAGAGTGAGATGAGAATTCTCCCACAGCCTCTACTGGTCGGAAATAGATTGCCCTTCCTAACACACAGCGAGGGCAGTATGAATCAAGAACCTACAAACATTCACAGTCTTTGACTTGGTCACTCCCCATCTGGTATCCATCACAAGGAAATAATCAGAATTCTGGACAACGATAGACACTTAAAGATGTTCATCAGTACATTGTGATAAATAAAAAGTTGTAATAACCTAATGTTCACCATTAGGAGCCTAGTTGAATAAATTATATCACCAGCATAGGGTTGAAATAGTATGAGCTACTTAAAATGGTCCTTACAAAGTTTTATATGACTTGGGGAAATAATGGCATAGTATTTAGCAAAGAAAAGGGGGTATGGAGGAGAAATATATGTATGTATAAAATATGACCTATGTAAACACACACACACACACACAGAAAAACAACTGGAAGGAAACATGCCAGCTATGGTTTCTCTTGGGTAGTGAGCTAATAAGCTTTTTCTTCCTGCTGCTTTAAACTTCTCTGTTTTGCATACTTTCTACAATGATTACATGCCATTTTACTTATCAGGGGAAAAGCGAACCATGGGGGGGAAATGTCTTTTCCCCCCGCTGGGTGTGCTACATGACACAGAGCACTGTAAAAACTGCAAAGGCCTGTGCAATGAGCGTTACCGGTGCTATAAATAAAGGCGCAGAAGCATGGCTCATCACACAGAGCTGAACTGGCGGTCAGGACTTTTGGGTTCTAGACCAGTGTCTGCCTCTAACTTACTATGTGGCCTTGGACAAACCATGGAGCCTCCTGGACCCTTGGTTTTTCCATCCGTAGAGAGTTGGCCAGATACCTTCCAAACTGCCCCCAGCCCTAGCAGCGAGAGTCTGGAACTCGGTGACCTCTTACCACGTTTGGGTTGAAGGGTGGGGTCAGCCTCTTGTGGTACAAGTCATCCCAGTTTATGGGGCTGAAGAATACGTGGTTCTTGATCTCAGTCTGCAGAAAGAAGGTGCTGGTCAGAAGCAGCCCTCTCCATGGGTTTTCCCTTCCTCACCCCACATGGCCCTGAGCTCCAACTCTATTGGCAGCTGGCTATCAAGCCCTAAAACCCTTGCTGAGAAAGTAACTTGTACCTCTGGCTGGTTTCCTGGAACAAAAGAGCGAGCATTCTGCAGCCTGACACTCCCTTTCTGGATCACCAGGAACCCAACCCCTTTCCCCCATGACATCTGTTTATTCCACATCTACTTACTGAACACCTACTCTGTGCCAGCACCAGTAGGCTTTGAAGGTATGTCATTGAACAAGACAGCAGACCCTGCCCTCGGGGTTCCCAGGGAATCTCGGGGACCCCACCCCACTCTGCCTTAGTGCATTTTGACTCTTTCAGAATGCAAACCAGAGAAATGAATTCACTATGAAAGGTTTAGAAAGGAAATCCCCAAGAAAAGCTGCAGGTTCCCAGAGACCCAGAATTTAGGACTCAGCCTTAGGCGTGTTTCACCACTTCTTTCCTCCAAACCAATGTCAGTACCAACTTTCTCCTGTCCCAGCAGGACCCCCTCTCTATCTGTTTCTCAAAGAATGATTCTCCAGCCACTGTATCAGAATAGTACCTCTGGGCTTGTTAAAAAGCCAGATCCAAAATAGCCAAGATACCCAAAAAATTGGTAGCACTGGTTGCCTCTAAATTAAGGAACTGGGTAGCTGGAGGGATTTTTCTGAATATTCTTTGAATTTTGATCGATGTGAATGTAGATATTTTTTAAAATCATACATATTTTTTAAGATGCAAATTTCCACCTGGAAGGAGAGGACCAATCTTCATGAAAGTCACATTCTTGAAGCTGTCCAGGGGTGGGTAGGCAAACGCCCTGAATGTTGTTACACTTCACAGTATCTGACATGTAGGGCTGTCTGTAAAAACACTTAAAAAGCACTGACTGTGTGCTAAGCGTTAGCCTAAGTGCTCTGCATATCTTAATCCATTTGACTTTTGTAGCAGCTTCAAGCTAGGTGCTGTTGTTACAGATGGGGAAACTGAGGCTCACAGAAGTTGAGTGTAAGTGGTGGAGGAGGGATCTGAACCCAGGCAGCCTGTCTCCTAGGCCACGCATCTCAACCACGATGCTGGAAGAGAAAACAAAGTTCCAGGGAGAAGAGTAGTGTGGGCTTCCTTCTATAAATCCAGATGATCTTTGGTTGCGTAGAGAATGTAAGATTATTTTTTAAATGCTACTTTAGTGAAAAACATATAAACTTGTTAAGGGTAAGGACTGCGACTTATTGATCTCTATATCCTGAGTGCCTAGCCTGGGCAGTGGCAGGGAGGAAGTGCTCAGATATCTGTGAAAAGCCGGTCCAGTCCACTCTGCACAGAAGCCAGAGGAATTTATTAAAACTTAAATTGGGTCCTACCACACCCCTCCTCAAAACACCCTAAAGCATACCACTCACTCTCCTCCTCGTTCCCACCACGGGACTTTCGCACATGCTGCTGCTCTGTGTCTGGGATGCATCCTCCCAGCTCTGCATAAGTGGTTCCTTCTCTTCCTTCAAGTCTCAGCTTAATTGTCCCCTCCTCAGGGAGGCCCTCCCTGACTATAGCAGTGTGAATTCACCCCCTCTCATTATTTTCTATCTTAACTCATTGTTCATTTGTTTCCTGATACTTGTCATACTCTGTAATAATTGTATATAATGTTTGTTGTCTGCCCTCCCCCCCCCCAAAAAAAAAAAAACTTAATAAGGGCAGAGACCCAGTCTATTGAATCCCTAGCATCGAGTTCCATGTCTGGCACATAGTAGGTGCTCAGTAAATATTGGTTGACTAGAACTAGACTGAAGGGAGTAATCAAGCAGCAGCAGCTGTGAATATCCAAATGAACGAATTGGCAGTGCTTGGTCTCACAGACAGCTGGATGCCTGTCCCTGTGCTGAGCTGCCTCTGCAGGAAGGGGCCAGGGTGCCTCTGGCAAGTCACCTACAAAGTCTGCTTTGGAGCCCAGCCGCTGCCTCTGGTCCTTGTGGAGAAGGGCTTGCAGGAGGTCACAGGCAGCCACCGTCCGGCCCACGGGGATCTGTAGTGGCTGGTGCAGAATGTTCTCATACATCTGGGAGATGTCTCGGCTGTAGAAGGGTGGCTGGAGAGAGAGGGAGAGAGCTGCAGGATCATCCATGTTCAAGTGGACACAGGTCTCAGAGAGACATGGAGCAAAGCTGGGTCACTGGAAGGGTTCAGCCAGACCACGTCTTGTACAATGGCTCACAGGGCAGACTGGAGAGGGACAGAGAGACCTGGGCTTCCAGCACAGTGGAGAGGGCTGCTGGGAAGGCTGAGGAGTCTCTCTTCACGGGTGTAAGGCTTGTGGGCCTCCTGGAGCATCCCCTATCCCACCTCTCCGAATCTGGCTTGTGCACCAACTTTGCACTTTGCAGAGTTCACGCTCTCCCCTTATCATCATTTCATCCCAGCTTCACAACCATCCTTAGAAACAGGTAGTAATTGTTCAGATGAGAAGACAAGGCTCAAAGAGATTGAAGCCTGTGGCATAGCTAGGAAGAGAGCCAGGCCCCAACCATATCCAGAGCCCACCTTTCCTGATGCTCTTCCTCCCACCTCCTCTGCCAGCTCTTCCTTCTCCAGACTCCACGGAGCCTGCTCGTCATATCCACGAAGCTGCCCAGAGTGAAGCCTGGCCTGGGGCGACTGCACTGCCTCCATCCAAGCAGGCAGCCTAGATCGGGTCAGGGCTGGTCCCACAACCTACCAGCACTGAGACCTTTCTGGGCTCAGTTTCCCTTTCCACTAATTAAACGAAGAACAATTCCATTTCCTGCAGCCACCCTCCAAAGGCTGTTTTGAGGCACAAGAGGAGTAACATAAGAGACAGTGTATTATAAAGTGCTGAACTGACAGTATTGAAAAATCACATATAATCCTTGTAATATTCACTTTGGTGTCATTTTCTTTTTTATCCTCACCTGAGTACTTTTTCCATTAATTTTTTTTTTAGAGAGAATGGAAGGGAGGGAAGGAGGGAGACAGGAAGGGAGGAAAACAGGGGAGAGGAGAGAGAGAGAGGAACATCAGTGTGAGAGAGACACATGGATTGGTTGCCTCCAGAGTGGGGATCAAATGTGCAACCCAGGTATGTGCCCTTGACCCGGAATCGAACTGAGACCCTTCGGTCCGCAGGCCAGTGCTCTAACCATTAAGACAAACCGGCCAGGGCTGGCGTCATCTTTTTTAGCTTGGAGTGGCCTGTTCAGTTCCTTGAGGAGCCTGAGCAGGTGACGTAAGGGAGAGACCCACCCCCATCTCTCCCCAGAGCCAGATGTCCCTTGCAGACAGCTGCACCCCACTCACCAGGCCATGCAGCATCTCGTAGAGGACGGCGCCCAGACACCACCAGTCCACCGCCCGATCATAAGGCTCTTTACGAAGCACTTCTGGAGCCAAGTACTGTTGAGGGGAAACACACTTATCTGAAAGACCCTCAGCCTCAGTCTCCCCATCTGTAAACAAGGCACTTGGAGAAAAAGATCGTGGAAGAGATGACATGTTGGGGCCACATGTCTCCTACACGAGCCATATCCCCTGCTCCCTGCCCCTGGCAACGTCCAGGGAAAGGATGGCTGGGCTGTCGGGCTTTGGGAGGCCAGCTCTGTCCAGCAGACATCCTGCCACACACAAACACAGACAATGGCTCCTGCTCAGAGGATCATCTGTCCATCGGCTACTCTAAAACCAAACTGAGGAGGCCCAGCTGAGATCTGAAACCCAGACTTTCAAGCATAGGGAGAAAAATGGAGCAGCTAAAGTCCTGCCCCATGCCAGGTCCTACAGCCTCAGCCCCACAACCCCACCCAGACATCTGTCCAAGCAACTAGTGACCCTTCTGTCCAAAGTTTAAGGGAAGGTTTGAACCCTAGGGCTGCATAGAGGCCTTGGCTGGACAGACAGACGTGTGAATTACTGCTGGTACACATACATTTTACGCCCCCAGGCTCTTTGTGGCTGAAAGAGGGCAGAAGTAAAGTGCTTCCTTCACACTTGCAAGCCCTGATCTTAATTGTCAGGCTAGGCCCTCCTGTTGCACATGGACTTCACCCTGTAGGACAGTGCTGTCCAGGACCACAGCCACTGTCCACACGCGGCTATCAAACACTTAAAGTGTGGCTGAGATGGCCCATCAGTGTAGAATACACACTGATTTCAAAGATTTAGAAAAAAATAAAATATCTCAACATGATGGTATGTTGAAATGACAATATTTTATATATATATATATATATATATATATATATCGTTAATTTAAATATATTATTAAAATCAATTTCACTTGTTTGTTTTTTACTTTTTAAACATGGCTGCTGGAAAATTTTAATTGCCTATTTGGTTTGCATTTCTGTTTCTATTTCTATTGGACATCACTGTGGCAGAGTCCTCAGCAGCTGGCGGGGGCCCAGCAGCCCCCAGAGCTGATGCCCCCATTATGCAGATGAGGAAACCAAGGCTGAGTGCACAAGCAGCTCAGGAGAAGTGCTTGGGTGGAAGGAGTGAGCCCCTTTAGCTGTCACCTGTCACCTCTAATCAGGAGCTGTGGCCTCAACCACCCAGCCTGCCTTCTCTTCGGAGTTTTAGCTCACCTCGGGGGTGCCACAGAATGTGGACGTGGTCTCCTCCGGCTCTACACCTTCCTTGCAGAGGCCAAAATCTGTCAGGACCACGTGTCCCTGCAGAGGAGGGAAGTCAGGGACAGGAGAGTGGTCTAAGATAATGGTATGGCCAGGACTAACCCCAATGCCCAATGCCCACCCCCCAGGGCAGCACCTCTGGGGTCTGATGCCCCTACACAGGCTGAGGTTTTACTCAGCGACCCAGGGCTTCTGGACTGGGAGCTGCACAGGGGGCAAGGTGGGGAGATGGCATTCCACTGTCTGCCCAGCTCATCACAGACTCAGACCCATGCCCTGTTACACTGGCAGCTCTAGAATGTCCTGGCTGGAGAGGCCCGGTGGCAGAAGTCCCTTGACAGCGGGCTGGGGCCCAGAAAGCAGCCACACCTTGTGCAGCTGGGCAGGTGGGTGGCTGGTGGAGGTCGTGGAGTGAGTGGATACTGCGGGACTCTGCCCAAATCTCCCCTTTGGGAGCTGTCATGCCCATCCCCCCACCCGTGCTGGGACACTGCCCTCACCCAAAGTTATGCCCCTCTTAGGGGCAATCCCACCCAATGACTGACTGATGCAGGGGCACAAATGCCCAGCCTCCTTGCCTCAGTTTGGAACAGGTCCAAAGAGCCATTCCATCTGGGGTCGTCCCTGCCCTATAAGATCATCTGAGGCCTCACTTCCAACCACAAGGAGGAGGTGAGCTTCCTCCTCTGCCCAATCCTGCCTTTCACCCCCTTAAAGGGAGATCTCTTGAGAGTGGCCCCTGATAACCTGCACCCAATGCTTCATCTCAGGGTCTGTTTCCAGGGAACCCAATCTAAGACATGGAGGGACTACAAAATCCACAGGCCTCCACCTGGCCCCACCTCTGCCCTCTATAGACCTCCTGAATACACATGTGCACACCCCCATACGTATATACATGGTCTTGTGTGCACATGATGCACATATATACAGATGTACACATATATGGGTATGTGCACACCTATATTTGAATGCATCTCTACACAATGCATGCACACCCATACACATACATGTGGGTACACAACATTCATGTGCAACCATGCACATACACACAGGTGCACACACACACAAACCTGGCAGTCCAAGAGAATGTTCTCTGGTTTCAGGTCCCTGCATAAAATGAAAAAAGCACGCTGTGACGACTCAGCCACTGAGTGAGGACAGTTGGGGGCCTGGCGGGAGGACTATTCATGGAGGCTCACAGAGGTGCCCAGGGAAGTCCGGGGGGGTTGGGCACTTGATCCTAGAAAGGAGGAGGCTCTCACCCTACCCCCTGGGGGCATTTTCCTCAGACAAAGGACCAGTTCACTGGCATTTCATCAGGATTTAGGGGCCACACAACCCCTGAGCCACAGGCAGGCCTCACCTGTAGATGATGTTGAGGGAGTGCAGGTAGCCAATGGCACTGGCCACCTCGGCGGCGTAGAACCGGGCACGGGGCTCCAGGAACCTGCGCTCCCGCTGCAGGTGGAAGAAGAGCTGGAGGAGGAGGACACTGTGAGAGGGTTTCCTGGGGGGCTCCAGCTGCTGGAGTGCAGGGGGGGCAGTGGCCCAAGTCACCCCTCTCCGAACAGCAATGTACTCGGACAACAAAGGGCATGTCTGCCCCCACCCCATACAGCAGTTGTGGGTGTCCATAGGGTCAGCAGGAGAGATTAATTCACATGGATTGAGCACCTACTATGTTCCAAGCCCCAAGCCAGAACCTTTCACATCTCTTATTTAATCCTAATGACCGCCTTCAAAGTATCAAATATGACGCTAGTTTCACCTAAGAGGAGTCTGGGACGGGTCAGAGCTGTCAGGTGACTTGCCAAGGTCACATAGCTTGCAATTGGCAGAGCTGGGATTTGAAACTGGGTGGTTCGAAGATAGGTTTTTCCTCCAACCCAGGTGAGAAGATTATCACGGCCAAGTCAAACTCAGCCCAGGATAGACCTGCCTGTGGGCCAATTGCTTTGACGTGTTTTGCTAGCATGGAAAATCTTCCAACTCCATCAGGGGACTTAGGGATGCAGGACAAAAACTTCCCTCTCAGCATCAGGCCAAAGGCATGAGGTCATAGAGCTTAAATCTGGGGTCACTGAGGGGGCCTCACTAAGAGAGCCAGAGTGAAGTCCAGGAAGGAACTCAGCTCATGCAGCTGTGCTGCTAGGTCACCAGGGGGCCTCAGGTCTCCATTTACCACAGTGACAGGCCACCCCCACAAGTGGCCTCTGTTGTAAACGGGGGCATTGCAAATCTTGACCACAGAGCTCCTGTAACATTGACCTTCCCAGGTGAGTCGGGCAGCTTTGCAGGGGGAAGTCAATACAGATCCACATTCCAGTCCTGGCTCTGCCAGGTATGGGCTGGTGGCCTTGAGCAAGTGATTAGCTCCTGAGCCTCGTTTCCTCCCCTACAAAATGGGTCTGTTGTATGGATGATGTGAGATCATTCCAGAACCTGGCACACAGGGGGTATGTGGGATGGACAGCTCCCAGCTAAGAGCTGGCCCAGGGGAGCCCCCTGCAGCCCCACCTACCTCTCCTCCATTGACGTAGTCGAGCACAAAGTAGAGTTTCTCGGGGGTCTGGAAGGAGTAGCGCAGGCCCACGAGGAAGGGGTGCCGCACGTTCTTCAGAAGCACGTTGCGCTCTGCCATGATGTGGTTCTGCTGTGGGGTCACAGACAGGGGCCGTGTCACCGCCCACCGCTCGCTGGTGGGGCTCCCATGCCCTTCCTCAGACACCCCTGTGGCTCCTTATTGCCAGGCCCGGCTCCTTGCCTAGTACTCAGGGGTCTGCGTGGTCAGTCTCATCCCCAGTCAGTTCACATGGGTGCAGCTCCAGCCCCCAGACCAGGGGCGATAAACAAAGAATATATGATTACTGCATCCTTTGCTCGTGCTATTTCCCCTGCCTGGGCACCCTCTTTTCAGACCATAGAACCCTACCTTCAAGGCCAGCTGCAAGGCTACCTCCCTCAGGAAGACCTCCCCTACCCACCCTCATGATGTCCTTGTTAATGTTAATTCCCTCTCCCGGGTGCTCTGATTTTATATCCAACCCTCTATGGACCTGCTCTCTCCAACTGGGGTTGGAGTTACCAGTCAAGAGACTTTAATCAGCTAAAGCATCTGGAACTCCAGGATGGCTGTGGCTGGGAGGGCCTTTGGAGAGTAAGAGGTGTGACCCCACTCTGCACAGATGGGGTGGCGGGCACCCAGGCAGGGCAAGGACTGTCCACTGTGAGGCCAAGATTTCATCAGAGGGAGGCACAGGGCTGGGACTGGCTCCTCCTGCAGCCTGTGGCTGACGTGGTTGGCCTGCCTTCCCCGAGAATGATAAGCATCCTGGCACCAGCTGGCCCCCTGCTCAGACCCCCTCTGCACCCAGCCCATGGACCCTTCACAGTCGGGACCCATCTGGGGAAGCCTCCCGAGCCAGGGAGTCGAGGAAGAGGAGAGGAGATGCTTATGCCTGAGCTCGGGTACCTCTTTGTGCTTTAAGATGAACTTTTTCTGCAGCACCTTCACTGCATAAAACATCCCGTCGGACTTGCGTTTGGCCAGGAGGACCTGGACGGAAGCAGAAATTCAAGGTCCCGCAGGTGACCACTCCTCTGATGGCCCCAGCGCCCGCCCTGCACCCTTGGACCTGCAGGTTGTGAGCTCCCTCCTTGCACATGCAGGTGATAGGCACGGGTGACCACTCCTCTGGTGGCCCCAGCGCCCGCCCTGCATCCTTGGACCTGCAGGTTGTGAGCTCCCTCTTTGCACATGCAGGTGATAGGCACGGGTGACCACTCCTCTGATGGCCCCAGCGCCGGCCCTGCATCCTTGGACCTGCAGGTTGTGAGCTCCCTCCTTGCACATGCAGGTGATAGGCACGGGTGACCACTCCTCTGGTGGCCCCAGCGCCCGCCCTGCATCCTTGGACCTGCAGGTTGTGAGCTCCCTCCTTGCACATGCAGGTGATAGGCACGGGTGACCACTCCTCTGATGGCCCCAGCGCCGGCCCTGCACCCTTGGACCTGCAGGTTGTGAGCTCCCTCTTTGCACATGCAGGTGACAGGCACGGGGTGGAGGAGGCTGGAGAAGGGGAGACGGAGGCTTCCCACCTTCACCATGTTACTCACCTTCCCATAGTTGCCTTTGCCAATGACTTTGAGGAAGTCGAAGTCGGTGGGCCGGGCACTGGGGGAGAGGGAAGAACACGGGTCAGCATTTGCAAGATTGTGAAACTCCATCCTGAGATCAAGTCCAGACTTCGTTTTCACTTTGAAGGTGGGGAATACAGGGAACTTTCCTACAGCCCAGCCTCCTCACCACTGAAGAATGACATGTTCTCCCAGCCACGAGGGGCTTGTAAGACTGGCCCTGCACCTGGGGATCTCACGATCAGGTAAACAGCAGGTAAGGTGGGGAGAAACCCAGACACAACTGCATAGAGGTGAGGGAGCCGGCTCAAAGCCTGAGAAGGGCCTGAAGGGCAGGGAGCTGCTAATAATGCAGACTTTGGGGCACATTCCAGGCCCAGGGCTCAGCATGGGCAGAGGCTGGGGAACTTAGGAGGGGGGAGTAAAGCTGGGAGCTGGTCCGGGGCCCAGGTCACAGAGGGTCTTGAAGGTAGACCAGAGAGCTTGGATTTTACTCTGGGAGCTGGTCCGGGGCCCAGGTCACAGAGGGTCTTGAAGGTAGACCAGAGAGCTTGGTTTTTACTCCCAAGGCTAGGGGAGCCCGGCCTGAGGGGAGCCAGGGAGGAAAGTTGCCTTAGAGACCAGAACTCACTTTGGGTTGGCTGAAGGCCCCAGGTTGATGTTCCCATTGGCCCTTGAAGGCTAAAGACATTTACAGAAAGAAGAGATTAATATCAACAGGTTCCTACTCCTTGGCTCCCTATTCTCTGGGCCCCAGGCCCTGATCCATTCTACTAGGCTACCGGCTTGCTTCCTTCCTTCCTTCCTTCTACCCTCCTCCCCACCCCACTCCCCCATCCACCATCTCATCTGCTTCTCACAACCACCTTGGGAGGCTGCTGTCATGCCAGTTGTGCGGGTGAGAAAACTGAGGCCCAGAGAGCGCTGTCCAAGGACTTACTACAGGCTGTTCCTCGGGCCAATCCCATGATTTTCCCACCCCATTTACTTCGTGAAGCCTTTGCCCAAGTCTCTTCTCTGTTTATCCTGCAAATGGCTCACTTCTGTGAGCTCAGAGTGACCCCTGTCGACCCCCGGTCCTGTCTGGGATGACCCACCTTCCCATCGGGTGCTGGCGTAGATTTCCTGAGCCATGTAAGGAAGTGAGCCCCCTGCTGGTGGGCAGGGGAACCAAGACCCACTCACCTGTGGACTGGAAGTCCCCGCCGGGCTGGCACTAGAGTCCATTCTGTAACAGTGATAGGGTGGGTGCTGGGGACACAAGGAGGAGCTGGCATGAGAGAGCTGGTTGGGGAGTTAGCTTCACCTGTCTAGAGCTTCAAGCACCGCTGCCCTCACCACCCCTCCCCAACCCCGTCCATGCACCTGCCACAGCCTGAGCTTTGGCAGCAACCCCTGCCTGGGCAGGAAAGGATACCCACTGGACCCAGCCTCTCCAATCAAACATCTCAGGAGGGAAGGAAGGAGAATGGTCAGGATGGCTCCTCCCAGGCTGAGTCTGTTTCAAGGACAGCCACGGTAGCAAGATCCCTGTGAGCCAGGGCAGCTCCAGAAGTCCAGGATGGCTAGGCCTGGGGGGACTCTGGCAGAACATAAAAAGTTTGCACCCCTCCCCCCATTTCACAGATGGGAAGCCTGAGGCCTAGAAAGGGACTTGCTAGGATTGCACAGCTTGTGAGGGGCAGGCTGGGCTCCCCAGGCTCCCATACAAGCATGTTGTAACCCTGAATTCCTGTAGAGAGCCCCTGAAAGGGCGCTGCCCTGGGGGCCTTGGACTGACGCCATGGAGAGTCCCCAGACTGGCCAGTGTCTAGTTGAGATTAAACAGATCAGCTGGTCTAGGCCCAGGGAAAGGAGGGAGCACCGTGTCTTCCCTGCCCCACCCTGCAGGCTGGAGGAGGCTAGCATATCTAGGCCCTGACTCAGGATGTCCAGGGCCCCACAGCCCCACCCCTGGTTGGAAGGCCAAGGCCAAGAGCTGATATCTCATCTGACGTCCCAGTTGCTTGCGGGAACTGCTGGGTACTGTGCATCCCAAGACCACAGCCTTGGTTCTTTGTGGGGACCGGGCTGCAGCCTGGCCTCTCTGGGTAGACACTGCCCATCCTTTCAAGGGGGCACCTGGCACACCCCCCATGGCCTTCTTGGGAGCTGAGAAAGTGACCACGGGGGAAGGGAGGGAGTCCCCCAGCTCTGTGGAGCCCTGAGAAAGCGAGCTGCAGAACTGCCCATAGGGAGCACAGCCTGTGCCCCAGGCCTATGCTCCTGTGATGCTGCCACACCCTCTCCTGCATGGCCCTGTCCTCCCCGGCCCCACATACCTGCACCGGCCTGAGGAGAGGCCTTTGAGAGAACCAGCAGTTGGAGCCGGAGGATGGGCAATGGACAACACAGCCTCTCTCTGTTCTCCCAACAAGGGCTGAAGTGTCTGTGCCTGGCGCCGGCCTGGCCCCAGCTCGGAACTCCCGGCAGCATCAGCACCGAGGGGACCGTTGATGTCATGCAGGACCCGGCGGAGCTAAAGATGGGATGGGAAACCTCTGTTCCCTGGGGACATCGGCTCCCCCTGGGGATGGGCAACAGCTGCAGGAGAGCCCTGGAGACTCCGGGCTTGTTAGAACATGTGGGTGTGGGTCAGCATGTGTGTGTGCGTGTGCAGGTGTTTCACGTATAGATGTGCTTCAGCCTGTGTGTCTGTCTGGTGTGTCTGTGTGTCCCTGTATGGCAAAGAATTGTGTCAGTGTGTGAGTCCATGCAGATGGCTGCCTGTGCTCTGTTATGAATGTGTGGCATGGTGACCTTGTCTGTATAATTTTTCTGTGTGTCTGTGCAACTCTGACTGTATGTTCTCAGTGTGCATGTGTGTGCGCCTCTGTGCAGTGAGTCAACGTGTCAGTGTGTATCTATGTGTTAATGTGCTTGTGTGTATGCATGTGAGTCATGTGTGGGTGTCTACATGTGTGAGTCTGCAGATGAGTATAGGTATCTATTGATACATGTGCATGACAGTGTAACCGCATGTGTGTATGTAGGTTATTGTATGTCTGCATTCACATTGGTGCATGTTGGTAAATCTCGTGTGTGTGTGTGTGTGTGTGTGTGTGTAGGTGCCTGTTGTAAGATATGCTCCCTGTGGTATACCCAGGCCTGATGGAAACCATCTGAGACTGAAGATGAGGTCCCAGGACCTCCACCATGGCAGCTGAGAGCCCTTCGCGCCTCCCCAAGAACCTGAGAGGAACCTGAAACCCAGGTGTCTGGCTCATCCAGCTGGCCTTGGTCTTTGAATGCCAAGTCCTTGGCCATTGGGGCCTTTCCCTGCTGGCCCCTCCAGGACTCTGGCCTGCAGTCCCAGGATAGGGCTGGTTGGCCCACTGCTCTGCGACTATGTAAGAGGCAGGAACATGGTCCCAGCCAGCACTTGGCTCATGAAGTTCTTGTTCCTGGTGTGATAATTAGGTACTCATGGGTCTCTCCTCTCCCCCGGAGCTCATGAGGGATGTTCTAGGGAACGCAGGAGTTGACATGGCCTGACACAGCCCCTGTTCTTCTGGAACTCTCTGTGTGGCTGCCACATGCCACACCCAGACCTTTGCAATTCACCACAGTGGAGGAATTTATGGAGCTGGGGCCAAGGGGGTTGGTCAGGGAGGGACCTGAGCCTAGTGGCCCCAGGGGTTCTCTGCGGGCTCTGAGAGCAGGGCACTGGAGGTGTCAGCTAAGGAAACCCGAGTGAACGACATCAGAGCCTCCCATCTTCCAACAAAATAAAAATGTTGAACCAATACACAGACGGGCAGGGTGTCATGTTGACAAAACACGTAGCAGAACAAGGACATTTCTTTTCAATAACAAGCCCCTGATTGGCCCTCCAGTCAGCAGCACTGTTTAGAACAGGGAAGCGATGGCAGTGATAATAATAACCTAAATGTTCCACCACAAGGCGCTTCGGAATATTGCTGGCTGTAATAGCTCCCTTTTGACCTCACATCCCCATCCAGGTGCTGTCCATTTCGCTGTTCCCCTTTTCAGTTCAACTCCTTGAAAGAACGGTGTGGACTCAGCCTCCATTCCTTTTTCTGTTATCTCTTGAACCCATCACAAAGAAGCTCTCATCCCAATACGGCACCGAAACAGTGATGGATCCTCCGTCCTCCTCTGGCTCAGCTTCTCGGGAGGATCTGACACACCCACTCCTCTCACTTGGCTTCAGGAGCTACTGGATGCCCGCCCACCTCACTGACTGCTCTTCCTCCACCTCTTCGGCTTGATTCGCCTCCTCTTTTTACCTTTAACACTGGCCTGTCCCAGGGCTCAGCCCTTGGACCTCTGTCTACACTTGTTCCTAGGTGAGCTCAAGCACTTTCATGGCTTTGAGTACCAAGTGTACTCAATAATTCCCAAATGTATCTCCCTGGTTCTGATTCTCTCCTGAATTCTGGATTGAAATAGCTAACGGCTTCCTCAACCCTTCACTGTTTAGATGTCCAGAGGCACCTCAGACTCAACACGTCTGAAACCAGTCTGGACTCACTTTCCTTCCACTCTTCCCTGGCACTACCACCTACTCAAAAGTTCAAGCCGGCAACTTGGAATTCATTCTAAAAAGCTGGCACCTTACCCCACCTCCACTCCTCCAAGAAATCCCACGAGGCTCGAACCCCTGAGTGCAACCAGAAACCCACTGCTGCAACCACCCTGCATGGATCACTGCAATAGCTGCCCTACCGATTCTCTATTTCTTTTCTTTTTTTAAGTTTTTTTTTAAATTTTTTATTTTTGGTTGTTAATCCTTACCCGAGGATATTTTTCCATTGATTTTTAAGGAAAGTGGAAGAGAGAGGGAAAGACAGAGAGAAACATCGATGTGAGAGAAACACATCGATTGGTTGCCTCCTGTACCAGCCCTGACCAGGGCTCCGGGCCAGGGAGGAGCCTGCAACCAAGGTACGTGCCCTTGACCAGAATCGAATCCAGGACCCTTTGGTCTGCAGGCCGACGTTCTATCCACTGAGCCAAACCGGCTAGGGCTGATTCTCTATTTCTATCTTTACCCAGTACAAGCTCCCACCAAAAGCCAGAGTGACTCTTTAACAATGTAAATCAGATCATGTGACTTTGTTGCTCAAAACTCCAGTGACTTCCATCACTTGGAGGATCAAAATCCAAAGTCTTTACACTGGTCTACGACATTCCCCTGCCCCGGCTTCTGCCTCCCTGCCCGCCCATCTCCACTGTTCTCCTCTCACAACACGCCAGCCTCTGGCTTTCTGGCTGTTCCTCAGACACACAGCGTGTCCCCTGGCCTCCTGCCCCTCGCACTTCCTCTGCCTAGAATGCTCGTCTGCAGAGCTGCCTTCCGCTAACCTCACAGGGTCTCTGCTCACGTGTGGCCTCTCAGGCCTCTTCTGATTCCTGGTGACCGCTTGTCCTGGCTTGTCTGGGACTTCCAGGTTCCCAGGATGTGGGACTTTCAGTGCTAAAACCAGTACAGCCCTGGGCAAACCAGGATGGTTGCTCTACAAAGCCAGTCCCGCTCACTCCCTCTGCACTTTCCTGCGCTATCTTTTACTTCGGAACACTTATCACTCTTTGACACCTTCACACGCAGTGTCTTGTTTGTTTTCTATCTCGAATGAGAACATTGGCTCCAGGAGGGCAAAGACTCTCTTGTTCACTGTGGACTGCAGCACCGGGAACGGGGCCTGGACGGCAGTCGGTGCTCCCTACATATTTGACTAATGAATCAAGGAATGAGTTGATAAGATAAATTACAGGACACATATAAAATGGAATATTACCCAAAAGCAAACAAAACTGAATACAAGCCTATGTGCATGGAAGCAGAAACATATAGTGTCAAGCGAAACAAACAAACCAGATTTCAAAATGGTAGGTGTACCAGGGGTACTGTCTTTGTACAGAACAAAAAGACAGGTGGGGTGGGCGCATGGACATTTGTGTAGAGCCACAGAGAAAAGTCTGAGGGCCACGACCCAAGGTGACAGTGGGTTAGCTTATTTCTTATCCTGTAGCACTGTATAGTCTCTAAGTCCTGGTGGGAACTTCGACATGCCCATTGCACACCCTCTCCTTCCCCCATCACCTTGACCGTAAACCCCACATCTGAGCAGTTCTCTGCTCCTAAGGCTTCGGGCTCCCTTCTCTGCAGCTTGACCTGACTCTGTTCCCACAACGCCATGGGTTAGGAACTATCATCGTCCCTGTTTGAAGGAGGAGGACGCTGAGGCTCGGGGAGGTGAAGTGACTTGATCAGGCCACATAGCTAGTAAGTGATGTAACTGAGACGTGAACCCAGGCAGTCTGACCCCAAGGCCCGGAATTTCAGGAAGGAGTTAGGAATTTAGAAAAGGGAGGCATGAAGTTAGTGGGAAGGAAGTGAGAATGTACATTGGTTAGTTAGGAAGGAACACAACTAGGTGGCTGAGAGGTAGAGAGAGAGTGGAGAGGAAAGGAGGCAAAGGAGGGAGGGATAGGGGGAAAGGAGTTAAGAAAAAAATAGGAAAGAAGGAAGCAAGGGAGGGAGGGAGAGGAGAGTTAGGAAGAAAAGAGGGAATTAGGAAGAAGGGTGTTAGGAAGGAAAGTAAGTAGGTAGTTAGGAAGGAAGTTGGCTAGGTAACTAGTTAGTCGGTTTGGCAGACCAGCAGGCTGGCAGGCAGGTGTCCTGCCCACAGCTGAGCCTCTCACCTGAAAATGCTGGGTCCCAGCTCAGGTCCTGGGGAGCAGCCCCGAGCACAGCTCTGCCCTCCCGTCTCTCTGCATGGTCCCCCAATCCTGAATCGCCGGAAGAACCTTCCCAGTCAGGGGTGACCTGTCATCCACTCACTCAAACTGCGAACCAGCTCAAGTTCAACCTCCCAGCTAGGCCAGCTGAGAGCTGGCCACAGGGCCCTGTTACTAATTAACCACGGGCCCTGAATCACCATGCTGGCTGCACCCAGTGGCTCCTCAAAGGCCCTGCCCTGGGGAACCTCTGAACTTTTAAAAGCTACTGCACAACTTGTGTGACCTTGGGCAGGCGACTTCAGCTCCCTGAGCCTCACGCATATTGGTGGTGATGGTGTGAATCCTGCCTCACGGAGGGTCTCTGAAGTCCCTCTCAACACTGTCCCAGTTCTAGTGTCTGAAATCTCCCCTCCCCTCCCCTCCCGAGTTCAGCGCATATGCTGACTCTCCCACACAGCCTTCCCTGACTCCATCAGCTGAATCACGTTCCCTTTTAGAGCCTGGGGAGCTGACCACCCAAAAGTCTTGTTGCACACAACTCTCCCCTCCGCCAGTCCCTGATAGGACCACCAGCCTGTGTGATCAGCCCTGTAGTGGACACCTCCGGCGGGGGGCGGGGGGGGCGAGGGCAGCTCATGCCCACCTGAGCCAGCCTCATGCCTGACACCTCTGGCACGCTCTTGTGTTGAGCCAAAGCCTGCTGTCCAGAGCTCTCCTGTGCTGGCGCTGTCCGGGCATCCACGTGGGAGAACTACAGCTGGCTGAGACCCAGGCCCCGCTCTGCCCTTCGGAGACCTAAGTCCCAGGAACCAGGGCTCAGCTCTCACCAGCTCCCAGGGAGGGAAGGCTTTCCCTGGTTGATCTGAAGGTGCCCAGGCTGACGGTTCTAACTCAGGGCAAGGACAGGGCCTGGCCTGCTGGACAGGTAAGAACAGCTCCACCCGGTGACCCCTCCTCAGTCTGACTGCCAGGATGCTTTCTCCAATTGCGTGTCATTATAATGTCAACCACTTCCAGTCCTGGTAGCGCTTTAAAAGCTGGCAGCTCTCACAGTTCCCCAGAGGAGCCCCGTGTGCCCCACTCCCCGCCTCCACCAACATACCCATCAGCATGTGACTGGCCTCCCCGAAAGGGGCGGTGGCTGGCCCAAGTGCACCAAGCAAATCAGGGCAGAGCCCCAGTCCTGCCCCTTTCTGGAGCTGTCCTGTTCCTGCTCCACCACGCCCCTCCTCCCTGCACTTCC